TGCCATGAAGTTTAAATTAATAGCTTATGCAGTTTTTAAAAAGCAACCACAAAGGGTACCTGTAACAACTCCAACTGTGCAACAGTATCCAGAGTAGATGCAAGGCCGACGGATACTTTATCCGCATCTTTATCTTTTATGCTTTCAAGAAGCTTTTTCAACCCATCCTAATGATCCAGAAAAAATTATCACCTTATACAAACCAAGTTCTCATACATTTAAGAAAAGAAATTGATAAAGAAAAACCCCAAAAGAATTTCTAAGACAGAAAACCAAAGATAAAATTGAGGCAAATGAAAGTTTTCTGCTTGCAATCTCGACTTCAGCTGAGCATGTGAGATGTGGGAAATATTCAAGCGTCGAAAACACCTGAAAAGCTTACTTGAGACTCCGTAAAAGCTACAGGTGCCTAATAAAATGTTACCAATCAGCCAAATATGACACAATCGGGTAGGATTACACCATAGTAGAACAAAAATCATTTAGCAGAATATGCTCTAGGGGCCATACTACTAATTTGAAAATCAAGTAGAATTTTTATTTTTTTTTTCTATTTGGATGAGATTGGGGGTGGGGGGTTCATATATAATGGAGTGTAGGGTTTAAAATTCAATTTGATTACGTAACTAAAAAAAAGACTTAGTTGTCGATAACAACAAAACAAAATTGAGTATCCTTCTTGCACTCATGAAATGAAGAGAATGCAATAATCTAAATGAAATCTTGCACTCATGAAATGAAGAGAATGCAATAATCTAAATGAAATCCTAATGAAGACCGATTTTAAACAACCATACGTGATTTAATATTTATTTGTGTTGTACACTACAAAGAATAAGCATTGACAGTCTTAATATAACAATTGCCAAATGAATCCTGAGTCCTGGCATTCAAGTTATGAAGAAGAGCATTATAGGAAAAATGAGCTTTCCATCCTTTTTTTCTATAGTACCTCCCCATCTGTGAGATAATCATAGAGTGCAGAACCCATTTCTCTAGATTCAGCCGGCATGCTAGACAAAATAGATTCTTTTTCGTCAACAGCAATCTGAAAAAATTGGAATTCAAAGCTATTTTCAAAAGCAGCAAAACTAAAACAGAGAGGCGGTAATGGGAAAGGAAATGAAGATAATGATGATTAAATGAAGGATGAAAAGGACTTACCTGCAAAAAATAAAATTTAAATCATTCATAGACTCATATTCTTTTTTTGTCAGGATTTTTTTTTATTGAAAATCGAAAATGAAGGAACATATTCTAATAATATGGCGGTCATAACTCATAACTAAGAGATTGTAGATAACATCCACCAAAATGTAGTAAGCAAACAAACAAACACAGATTGATGAAAGAATATGACAAGACCAAAAATCTTTGAAAAGCCCCGGTGACAATGAGGATATATTTAAATAATAATTGATTAAGCATTCTTAGTATAGACAATTGGTAAGTTTCATGCATAGACAACAACCAGAAATAAATGAATGACATACTAAAACACGGATCAAGTCATAAATGTAAATTTATGTAGAAGAAGGTGCATGTTTACACGAATGCATTTGTACAAGAATCCAGCACTACCTTGAGAGATTTTTTTACATTCCCTTCCATTGTTCCATATGGTTTCCTCTGTGGAATTCTCAGCAAGTACGATATGTCCTCCAGAGAATCCTTTTAACAGAATCATAAAAATGTACATATTATTTTTGTTTATTCCAACTGTGTGGATAGAAATTTATTACAGCTGTACCTGAATAGCTTTCATATTCACGTTAGCAGGGATTGCTCTTCTCAAAGCTAGCTCTCCAGTTCGTGGGATTTTCGTTTCAGGAGAATAAAGAACTGCCTCAGCATTAGGTATGAACCAAGAATCGTGGCCCGTCAAAGGAAATGGAGATGCCAGCTGAAGGAAAAGAAAGACAGTTGCACAGGCCCTCTCAAGCTGCTTCCGTCCTAGTTCGTTCCATGACATTAAGCTGGATCTCTGATTTTGCGCATTCATTGACTCCTGCATGAAAGAATAGCAATACATATAGAGAGACGGAGATGATAATGCTGGAAATAAAGTAGCTTCATTTTTCTTTTTTACGTGCAATCCTTTTAGCCTACTAAAAGAAAGAACAAGACCCTCTAGTCAGCACTGCCAACAAGCTAGGGACATCATCTTCCAAAAAATAGTTCGGCTACTATAACAAGAGAGCCATTAGCTTTGTCGAGATCAATACTTTTCAGATATGAAAATTAATGGCCTTTAACATTAGTTGAATTAATCCAATTGCCCTTCTGCTTCTCAAGTGTATCATACTCTTTCATAATATTATAACGAGAGTCATACTTTTTGTCCTCAAAACTAATTACCAAAACGACGTTAACTAAGACAGGTCAGCCGATCACGATGATTCACCGGGGATCACTCCAAATTACCCAATTCCATTTAGCCTATATACTTAAAGACTAAAAGTCTATGAACAGTAATTGAGAGGGCTGAGAAATTACATAGGAAAAATACAACATCCAAAACAAGAAGTAATACAGAAAATGCACAGCAGAAATAAACTCATAGCAATTAGCCCTAAAGCTCGTGAAAGATAAGCGAAACTCAACTTGTTCACTCAACAAGGGGCAATAACTTACAACGGAAGAGATAAAACTAAACAATAAAAAAAATGGCAGTAAGAATCTAAAAGGAAACTAACTGTAGACCCATTATCCCTTTTTGCCAAAATGCGATTGCATTTAAAAGAAAGATATCTCGCCATTGTTGATCGTCGAGGAACATGAGAGTTTGCACGAGCAAAATGGGAGGTGAATGAAGAAATTGAGCTAGAATTGAGGGTTAGGTAGTTAGGGTGGGGAGTGAGAATGGAAGCAGATAAGGGGAAGGCCATCGGAGTTGGGAAATCGATGAGGTTTTGGCGCGCCTCATCCAAAACAAAAGCAGACTAATCTACACTTCATCATCTCTCTCATTGTATATACTTTTGAGTCCTTTCGTTTCAATCTGAACTTTGGTTTGATTGCGAATAAACATAAATAAAAATGTAACGCTCCACTTTTATTTGTCGAAAATCAGAATAAATTTTTCAAATTTATTTCGAAACACTTGAGCGCTACTCATTTTCAAATCAATATTCGATACTTATCAAATTCTCAATGTTCAATCATTCATCACTCCTCATTAATCAATATTAAAACTCCAATCATCCATAATACCATCCAAGCAATCCAATAATCAATAGTATCCTAGGGAGTACATACTCCCTATCAATAATCCAAAAATCCAAAAGCAATAATAACATTAATTAGTTTATCAGGCGGAAGCATTAATCAATTTAAAAAACCACCACTCGCATCCCTCCGCCTGCCCGTAAAAACTAACCTGCATCCATGAAGAGCAAGTGGGGATGAGCACAAAAGGAAACAGTAGTGCTCACCACTATGCAATAAACGTTATTCGCAATAAGGGAACAGTAATCAATAATCAATAAAGTATAGTCTCAGTATGTATACGAAGCAATAATCTATCTCATTCTCCCATCAATAATCACAATAATCAGACTCATGTGCACACCTACGCATAGACTACTGTTGATACTCGATTCGAACGCCAAGACCTACGCCTTGGTCTTACAACGATGCCCAGCCAGTAGGAGTAAACCACCCCGCCGGCCAAAACCTACGAATTGGTCTTACAATCGTGGATCACCAGCCAGAACCTACGCCCTGGTCTTACGGCTCTCACGGGAGACTACCCAACAGGTACGTTCTATAGCTACGAGGATAACCGTTCGATGGCCAGTACAGCTCACACCGAAGGCTACATGATTCACATGCATACCTTGATCATACCACAATTAAAACAGTAATAACATTTTAAGGCATAGTAATTTTTCAAATAAAACCCACCTGGTAGTCGCGGTAGAATATTGCACACAAAAGTAAGTACGTAGGTCAAGGCTCGACTCCTCAAACACCTACATTTAAGCGAGATAATTTATCAATAACCTATCTCACTACTCAAATTTAATATATAACTCACACTTAATAAAAATTAAGACTCATGGGTTTTAATCGGATTTTCGTGGACTTTGAACTCTCTCATTTTTTAAAAATATGACTCGGAGAAATAAAATTGGAGTCTCAGGACTAAAAATAATTTTTCCCAAATTTTTCTCATTTGAAATCAATTTTTATAATTGAAATCGGTACGAAAAACGGACTCCAAAACACAAAATTTGGTTCAAATCTAACTGGGCTAAAGCTGCCAAAGATTCAGCTAATTGGGCCGCGCATGAGGAGGGACAATAGCCCACTACATGGCCTGTTAAGGGGACAAGGGCGCGGGCCTTCGGGCTGGATCATTGGCTCGCGAGTCTTGACTGCTGCGGGCGTGATCGGGCCGCATGCGGGCCGAACGCGGGCTGCAAAGGATTTGGCTGGAAAAATATTGTTAAATAAATGAAAGGCTATTTCAAGGGTTCGAACACGGGAGTCACATAACTGAGCGCAGAGACCATTGCGCTACACGTCGATTTGTGATTTCGATTGAAATCATGAATTACTGAATTAATACAAAGGCCTGCGAGCAGAATAAAAGAACATAGCTGGGGACCTAATAACAGAGCAGTGAAATTGCGAGCGGGTTGGCGAAATTCACCAGCGACTTTATCAGAAATCAAGTTTGGAAAAATTTTACAAATTATCAAAAACACAACAAATTTTGTGAGTATCAAGATTTCATAAAAACGGGTCTAAGGCTCGACGAACAAATTGACAATACACGGTTTTAAAAACAAACGAACGGTATAACGACAATTTCGAAACAATAATATCGTGACTCTGAATCACTCGAAAACATCACACAACAACAGCGAGATTAACTACAGCAAATAAGACTCCATATTTGCAAACAAGAGTTCCAATTCACACGACTAATATCTGAAACGCAATACATCGAACAAAACGAAACGAATATATATATATAATCAAACCAAATAACAGAAACGGTTTGACGAGAACGAGAATGAACGAATGACATCATCTCAAACAACAATTAATGAAAAGGTTCGGAAAAATGGTTACCCGTCTTCGGGAATTTACGGGTTCCATCAAACGGGGAGAACGTACGAACTAACGGAGCCTCGAAACTCGAAACTATCGGACAACGAGACTGGACACATCCTTCTTGCAACGGACAGGTTGCTCACGACGACCCGGGGATCCCGTCGGAAAGAACAGTGAACGCCGGAAAGAATGGCGATGGCCTGCTGGTGTCTCGCGGACAGAGTTGCTTCCGCTGTATTGGATGGCGGCGT